CAGCGGGTGGCTGGCTCATGCCGTGCCAGGTGCAGGGTCTGCTGGCTGGGTGCTGGCAAGCTTGCATCTGGCACAAGCACCGTAGCCAGACTGTGTCCCTTTAAAGTTTCCCTGGTTTGGCCCAGAGTGGCCACCAGGGCAAGCTGGGAAGGGCTAGCCTCCCACTAGTTCAAATTAAGTGGCTATACAGCCCTTAATTCGAACTACTTAATTCGAACTAGGCGTTAGTCCTCGTAGAATGAGGTTTACCTAGTTCGAATTAAGCACTCTGCTAGTTCGAATTAAGTTCGAACTAGCGGTTTGCATGTGTAGCGCCTATGAAAGTTAATTCGAACTAACGGCTGTTAACTTTGTAGTGTAGTGTAGACACACCCTTATTCACAGAAGGGGAGGAGGGAATCTATGTTTTGTTAGTTCATGAGTTGCTGCAAGACTATCTGTTGTTTTTGAAGTTTTTCCAATTACAGACTAAGTTGGCTCTCCCTCTGAAGCTTTTGTACCTTTGGGAAAGTGGCAGCAAGAGCAATGTCTCCCACACACACTGTGGGTGGACAGAGGGAACTCAAAAAGAAAAAGACAAAGCAAAAACCACAATATAAAATTTTTAAAAAAACTCCTTAATTTTGGGCAAATCTTGTGATTTTTTTTCAGTTGGATGTGTGATTTTTTTTTTTCATATTTGGGCTGAGAAATACTGCTTCCCTTCCCTGTCAGCTCCCAGGCTTCCTATGACCCTCTGCCTCACTCCTAGGCTACGTCTACATTGGCCCCTTCTCCACTTCAAAGTAGGAATAAGAGATCCTCCGGAAAAGGGTTTTATTCCGGAGGATCGCGCCAGTCTAGACGCTTTTTTCCGGCTTTTCCCCAAGCCGGAAAAAAAGCGGCGGCCATGTTTATTTAAATCCCGTGGGGGATATTTAAATCCCCCGCGGATTTCCCTATTCTGAAGTTGGAAATTAACATGCCTCTTCCGGAGAAGGGGCCAATGTAGACGTAGCCCTAGAGCCAGAGCCTCTGGGCCCCACACTTCCTCTTTGTTTTTTGCCCACTCTCCTGGCTAGAGTGAATCTAGGGCCTTGCCTCTGCCCCTCTCAGAATGACTTATGACCCAATCCTTTCACTACAGCTCATTCTAGTAGGGGTTGGTGTTACCCAGTATTGAGCAAGCAGGTCCATTGCACTATTGACAGGTATCCTCCCCAGGCATGTAGGAACTGTCATATGGGATCTACCCAGAGGTCCATCTAGGGCACTGTTAATTGTCACCTGGATTCTGCCAGCCATAGAATCCAGAGAACAGACATAAATCCCCAGAAGGAATCCCCCTAGCAGAGGAGACCCCTGTGGCTGATATAAGGGAGAGGAACATGGGTATGGGCAGGCCAGAGGAGGGAAGATTAGATATAACTTGAACAGATCTGCACTTGTCATTCTACACCCCTGCAAAGCTATATGGGGACACTGAAGCAGGGATGTAATTTAATCACCACTGGTCCAAACGACCTCTGAATATAAGAACTGCAAGTTGCCTCCCCATCATTCAGACCCTGGCACCTATGCAAGCATATGGATGAATTTGCTCCAAGTCCAGAATCCTGTCTCTGACAGTGGCCAGTGCCTCATGCTTCTGGGAAAGGTACAAGAATCACCTACTGATCAGTTATGAATAACCTACTTATATGGGCAGCTTCCTCCTAATCTCTCTGAGCTAGAGAGTGGCTTAAGAGCCCAGGAACTGAAGGGTTTGTATCCCTCCTAGAAATATTTTTTAAAACCTTATAATCACTCTGCTTGCTCTCATTATCTATGTAAATGTTTAATCCTTTTCTGAGTCCCACTATACTTCTTGCCTTGAGATCTTGTGGCAGTGAGTTCCAGGGGCGATAGACTTAACAACTTTAAGATTGTAAGGAACCATTGTGATCATGTAGTCTGACTTACAGAACATTGCAGGCCATAGAACCTCACCCACTCTTGTAATAGACACCTAATAGGTTGTTTGTGTTGAGTGTGAAAAAGAATTACTTTTTATTAATATACTGCCTTTAACAGGAATATCCCTTTATTTTTGTATGGCATAAGAGGGTAACTAGAAATCTAGCAGTGATGTGAAGTGATGTGAAGACCCATGAGCTATTGATTCCAGTGCTGAGTTTGAAGTCCATGAAGACATCGCCTAAAATCAGAGAGAATCTGGCACTAGTGCCAGATTCAAATCACATCCACAAAGGTTTTGGGATACAGAGAATCATAGGACTGGAAGGAACCTTGAGAGGTCATTAAATACAGACCCCTGCACTCATGGCAGGACCAAGCACCATCTAGACCATCCCTGACAGGTGTTTATTTAACCTGTTCTTAAAAATCTCCAATGATGGAGATTCCACAACCTCCCTAGGCAATTTATTCCAGAACTTAACTATCCTGACAGTTAAAAAAAGTTTTTCTTAATGTCCAACCTAAACTTCCCATGCTGCATTTAAGCCCATTGCTTCTTGTCTTATCACCAGAGGTTAAGGAGAATAATTTTTCTGCCCCTCTTTAGGTATTGAGAGCTGTTATCATGTCCCCTCTCAGTCTTCTCTTTTCCAGACTAAACAAATTCAGTTGTTTCAATCTTCCCTCATAGGTCAAGTTTTCTAGACCTCCATGGACAATCATGTTTGTTGTTCTTCTCTGGACTTTCTCCAATTTGTCCACATCTTTCCTGAAATGTGGCTCCCAGAACCGGGCACAATACTCCAACTGAGGCCTAGTCATCACAGAGTAAAAAGGATTACTTCTCAAGTCTTGCTCACAACACTCCTGATAATACATCCCAGAATGATGTTTACTTTTTTTGTAACAGTGTCACACTGTTGACTCATATTTAGTTTGTGGTTGACTATGACCCTAAATGCTTTTCTGCAGTATTCCTTCCTAGACAGTTGCTTCCTATTCTGTATGTGTGAAACGGATTGTTCCTTCCTAAGTGGAGCACTTTGCATTTGCTGTTATTGAACTTCATCCTATTTACCTCAGACCACGTATCATTATATCATTATTTGGTCTGGAAGTTTTAAGCTAGCAGGTAATGCAGCGCTGAATCAGCAGGTGTCCCAGCCCAGTTCCTCTTATGCCAGTGCACATATTACAAACTATTGCTAATGACATTAGTTGCCCTTTGCTTGTCCTCCATGGAAGCCTCTGCAGAGAGGCCAAGGAAGAACTAAAAGTGCCTTGGAGACTGAATTTATTCCATCAGAGGCCAGCTTTCAGAGCAGCTGAGGAAATGTGGGCCATATGAAGGAGTTTGTACTACCCCCGAAGCCTTTTCCATTCTTCTTCTTCCCAGGATCTGCTCCAGGTCTGAACCACACTTGTCGAGTGTGTGCATAGTTGTATTTCAACACAGGCACTCTCCACAGGGTGACAGATCATTGCAATGGTGAAAATTACACAGGAAGAGCCAGAAGCTCTTTCACCTTTGCCCTTAACCCTCTCTCTGCCACCCCCATCTCCTCAGTGCACACACGCACACATATCTCTGCTGCCCATGGAAGCTATTTCTAAGCAATCCCGGGCATCTGGGGAATGAGACTCTGAACAAATATCGGAGCGTGCGTGTGCACGCACACACACAGACACAGACACGTGCTGCTGCAGCAGAGTCAAATATAGACCTTGGGGAAGGGGGAACAATGGTAGGAGGTTGGGTTACATTGCCGCAGGGCCAGTGGGCTGAGGGTGTTTGTTGTGAGCCAGGATGGAATGGGAAAAACGAGGGGGAGGGAGAGAACATTTGTTTTAATATATAAACCGCTGCCTGGTGCTGTGCTGTGCTGTGCTATGCTGTGTAGTGTGTGTGTGTGTGTGTGTGTGTGTGTAAAAAACCTGGAGCAAGAGCCAAGCTATGGGATGTTAAATTGAGTTGGCAGCTCAGTGGTTTTTGTGGTCTCTCTCCAGCTGGTTTCCTCTACTCCCCTGTCACCCTGGAGAGATTAGAGGGGGCAGGAGGAAGGGAAGAGTCTCCCTGGGCTTCTGCACAGAAAAGTGTTTCTTTCTCTCTTTGCTTTAGGGAAAATTCCCCCAGTGGAGGGGAAGTGACAGCATCACCTATTCCCTTAGCCCAGCATCTGCCTCATGCCACTGATGTCCAGCTGCTTCCAAGGAGCAGGCTCCAGACTGCGAAAGAAAGGGAAGCAGGTCCAGCTGGTTTTGACAGGTAATTTTTCTGGCTGTATGCGAGTGGTGACAGCACTTTGAAAGAGTGGCTGGGGAGGGGCTTTTAGGCTGACTTGCGCTAAGGGAGTAAAACACGAATACAGCAGACAGGTGACAGGTCACTTCATTCCAACCCCATGTTCCCACTTTGTGGGATTTCCTTGAAAAGGGAAAATCTCCGAACAGATTCTTATGGCCAGAAAAAATCCTTCCTAATTCTGACCTAGCAGCTGTTCAATGCAAGTGGCAGAGATCAGAGGAGAGCGGAGCAGCGTCCAAGCTTGCAGCAGGGTGAAGGAATCCTTATTCCCAATCTCAGGGGCTATAGAAAGTGCTGTTTTTCCAGACTGGTTCTCAAAAAGCCTGGGCATCATTATAGCAAGTCCAAGACCTAGGATTTTGCAGGGACTGGATGAGAGCCCTTCACTCCTGCATGTTCATCCTGAGCCCCTAGTGCTAGACAAGAAGCTGCAAGTATTCTCCCACTCCTTTTAATTTCTGTTCCCTTCCTTCGCTTCCTTTACTTCCCTTTCCCCATCTCTTAAAGAATCACACAAGGACCATGGTTAAAAAGTGAAAGGAAAAGTCACATGTTTAAATTCACCCATTTTGTCCACCCTCAGATATTGAAATTTCTGTTCCCAACCCTACTGCCTGCAATTTTATGTCTCTAGTGATCAAGTGTCACCTCCTATACCCTGATGACACTCACTCAGTGCTACAACTCTCACTCACCTTTGAAAGGAACAGAATGAAAAACTCTAGGTACTGTATTCCTTGCAGCACTTTTAAGGCTGTCTCTCCCTCCTGCGGACCCTGGGCAGTTGTATGTACATGCAGACACTCATTTTAACAAGAAGTGCTTCTCATTATACAGGTACACACACATACTCACACTCTGTCCTAGCACACACATACATTGACACCACCATGGCTACACAAATACACAGCACACACATTTGGTCCACCAGCATACACAATGGCACTGGAACTCTAACTAAGAAAAATACAGTTTGATTGTATGGGACACTGTTCCCACAGCAGCCTTGCAATGCCCAGTAGCTAATCCCAGGGCAATATCACAGTAAGAATTTAGAAGTGCAGGTGAGGACGGGGAACTGGGAGAAATATGAAGGGTGAGCAATAGCAAGTGCCTGCTTCACTAGAGTAGCACCCAAGGAAGCTGGTACAAGTAGTACTGTTTGAAGGATGAGGAAGGAAGGTGAGCAGCCTAAGCACCAGCCACGGAGGGGGGAGCTCTCCTGCTTTTAGCAGAAGAAGAGATGTGCTCTTCTCCTCTCTGCTTCTCTTTACTGTTATGCCTGGAATCAAGAGAAGAGTGTCACAGCTGTCAACTGAGTTGGGACATGACTAGATCTCCTAGGCGCTATGCTACTACTGATGAAACAGAGATGAAGCTAGTCACTTTATAGAAAATGGAGAACCAGCGAAGGCATCCCAGGATAGAGATGGAGCAGTTCTGCTCCATGAACATCTGAGAAGATGGCTGAAGCATCCAAGAGACTGAGGTTTGGATCTGAGGGCCTCTGGAGACCATGGAAATGGGTGCTCATACACCTGATTTGTGAAGGGAGCAATTCAGCAGTGGTCTAGAGCCGTGGTCTCCAACCTTTTTAAGCACAAGAACACTTTTTTGAATTTAAGAGCAATCCAGGATCTACCTCAAACCCAAATAATCTTGCCTTGCTCCTTCATGCCCCTTCTCCCAGCGGCGGATTTAGGACAGGGAAAGCGGGGCGGCTGCCCTGGGCCCCGCGCTTCCCAAGGCCCCGCGCATGCGCCGTGGCGCCACGGCGCATGCACCATGTCAAAGGGGGGAGGCGTGAAATTTCGCTGCCCGGGGCCCCGTGGCACTCTCATCCTCCCCTGCCTTCTCCAAGGTCCTGCACCTGCTCACTCCATCCTCCCTCCCTTCTCCATCCTCCCTCCCTTTCACCAGGAAGGGGCAGAGGATTAGGGCACAGGCTCTGGTCTTGGGCTAAGGGATTCGGAATGTAAGAAGGGCTCTGAGCTGAGCCTGGGGCAAGGACTTGGGGTGCAAGAGTGGGTGGGGCAGGGGATCAGAGCTGGCTCCAGCTGGACACTGCTTACCTCAGGTGGGTCCTGGGTGGTGGTACAGTGAGGTTAAGGCAGGCTTACCCCTGCCCTTGCCCTGCACCACCCTCCAAAGCAGTCAGCAAACTCCCTCCATTCCAAACCCTGTTGTGCCCCCCACTCTGCTCTGTGGAGATAGGATACAGGATGGGAGAGGGGGCACCTTGACATCAGCATCCTCCTCTGCCTTCCCTACTCTGCACAGCAAGCAGGAGGCTCCCGGGGAGGGGCAGCTCCAAGGGAAAGGGCAGGAGATACGCAGCAGTGTGGGGAGGAAGCTGAAGTGCTGCGCTTTATAATAGCCTCTTGGCCAAACCAGACAGAATCACCTGTCAGAGGCTCCAAGATCTACCTGTAGATCCCGATCGACTGGTTGGTGACCATTGGTCTAGGAGATAGACTGGAGTGCAAAGGTTTGCTCAGAGTCTAAGGCTCTGTCTATACAGCAGGGCTTAACTCGAAATAAGCTATGCAAATTGAGCTACATCAATTGCGTAGCTTATTTTGAAAGAGCTCATTTCAAAATTGGGAGTGTCTACATAGCACTTATTTCAAAATAGAGCACTCTTCCTCTGACTTCCCTCACTCGTGCAATGAGAGTTACTGGAGTCGGAGTAAGAAATCCTCCAGCTTGACAGTATTTCAACATTATTTCGAAATAATGTTGCTGTGTAGACATACCCTAAGGGAGCTCAGGTCCAAGACGAGAAAAGAGAGGTCATTGAATTGTGACTGTAGCTAAGAGTCCTTCTTCATCCAAGAGGAAGGATGTCTGTCTTATTGATGTTTTAGTGGAGCATGTTAAAAGCCAGGTGTTGCAAAAAGGGAAGGAGGTGCAAGGAGATGGAGTTGAGGGTGATTAGTACAAAGATAGTATCTGAGGTACATGAACTGATGTGCCAAGTGGGAAGAGATGGACAGAGAAGAGAATGATATCTTGAAGCGAGTGAGCCAGTTATAAAGTCAGGTTTCATATCAGGTAGTTAGGGAGCAGACATACCAGCCTGAAGCGCAAGGGGGATGTGTAGCCCATGTCAAATGCTACCCTGAGGTCAAGTGTGTGGGAGGCCTAACTGAAAAAGGGGAGAAATCTGGGCCCTGAGAAGAGTGCTTTCAGTGTTCTGGACTTCCAGTTGAAATGGACCACAAATGCTGTGAGAGCAGCAAGGGGTTGTTGAAATAATTTTTGATAGCATTTTGCTTTGAAGAGTACGGTGGATCTGGGGCCACGCTTGACAGCACTATGGTCAAACATGAATTTCTTGAGGCATGCTGCAGCTTCAAGTGCAGTAGGGACAGAGCTGCCAAGAAATGAATGAAAGCTGCAGGAAGTAGCTGAGTTAGTCAGTACAGGATAAACTTAAAAAACAACAAATGGTCTGGTAGCACTTTAAAGACTAACAAAACATGTAGATAGTACCATTCATTCATGTTAGTCTTTAAAGTGCTACCAGACTATTTGTTGTTTTTAAAGAAATGAATGGGTAATCATAGTGCTGGCAGAGCCAGCATAGGGACAAGGACATGATCCTAGAGAAGTCAATCAGACATGATGAGAGTGGAGATGGCGAGTCAGGAGTATTGGGGGAGGCTAAACAAGGAGGGCAGCATTAGTAGCTGTGATGCTATTGTTAACTGATGCCATTCTGGAGTGGTAAGAAGTGGCAAGCTCTGGGTGGCAGATAAGGGGAAGAGGAGAAAGTGTGCAGGTGGCGGAGCAGACTGGTAATGCTGAAGAGTGATACCTGAAAAGGCCTTCGGAGTTACACAGAAATAGGCAGGAAGGCAAATTCCTGGATGGGAGAGAGGCCTTGCAGAGGACTAATTGTTCTGTCTAATTCTGGTGGAGCTTTGGGACATCAGCACCTCCCCCGGTGATGTCTTAAGAGGTTAGGAAGGTTCAATGGAATGGAGGGTTCTGGAGGAGCAAGGAAACAGAGATTGTAGAGGAGCAAGTTGGCTTGAAGATGCAGATAAAACAGTCAGATGCTCCCCCGGGGTCCTTGTCACCACACAGAAAGATCCTTGTTACAGGCACACATGCAGACACAAGCAAACAGCTGACTGAAGATAAGGTTGCCACATGAGTAACTTTCCTGGAGAGCCCTGCAATCTTGAGTGGGCAGGGAAGAAGGTAGTTACTGAAGCTCAGTTAATGGCTTGTGGATGGGTATGAAGAAGGGGGTTGGGATTCACAGAGCATTCAGATTTCTGATGGAAGGTGACTGTCAAGATCACTCTACATTAAGCAATGGGCAATCCCTTGAGCTGAAAACTGGCAGAGCTTGTAGGGCAGCCTTTAAAATAGACAGGAAAGGGTGAAGGAGGCGCTTTCAACTTTAACTCAGACAATCCAGCATGAATGTCCAATATAAACATCAAAATAGAATATGGAGATGTTCTTCAAAAGATGATAATAATGGGAGAAAGAGCACTGATCAATGAAAGTACATGTAGAAAAAAAGCAGCAAGCGTGAGCAGAAATAATTGATGGAGGCAGACCTAGATAATGTAGTGATTAAAATGTGGTATTCTGTGGTTCGCACAAGGACTGTGCGGGAGCCACACTGGTGCTAGTGCCACTAGGGGTCAGAGCAGCCAAAACTATGTTTTATTATGGGAGTCCCTCACTATTCACCATGTGGCTCTGAAGCTGCTTGGTTCTCATCCCTCATTCCCAGCAGGAACCTTGTGTTGATATCCCTGAGAATCTGTTGGTCAGTCTCCATGAAGCAGATTTAGGCTGCCTGCCAAGAACTAGGTGGGGAGTTAAAATCTCCACAACCAGCAGCATCCTGTGACGTGGGGTAACCCAAGAGTTGGCCTGGGAGTTTCTCCTTCTTTCACATGTTTCTCCATGTTTCTCTTTGGGGTCGGTTCCTGGCACCTAGTGGTTTCTCCTTAGCTTTTTAATCCTTGTATATCCTTCCCCCTTGTTTTTCTCATACATTAGGGGACCTTAGCACCCCAGCGGTGGGAAGGGTTGGCTATTCAGCCCCCTCACGCCCGTTCAGTGTTTCCTGGGCAGACCAGAGGGGGCTGCAGTGCCATTCCACCCAAGGGGATCCTCCCCCAGGACTGGGGCAGATTCTGAGTCTGTAAGGGGGCTCTTTCCTTCCTCCTCCCCTCCCCTGCTCTGGTGTGCAGCTGCCCCCATCTCCTAGGTGAGCAGGAACAGGGACAGCCCTTGGGGCAGATTCTGCGGTGGAGGCCAGAGGGGGAAAGATCTCCCAGGAGGGGGCAGGGAGGCGTCAGCCCGGCTCTCGGCTCAGGCAGAGGTAGCTTCCCCCCTGAGTCTGTAAGGGGGCTCTTTCCTTCCTCCTCCCCTCCCCTGCTCTGGTGTGCAGCTGCCCCCATCTCCTAGGTGAGCAGGAACAGGGACAGCCCTTGGGGCAGATTCTGCGGTGGAGGCCAGAGGGGGAAAGATCTCCCAGGAGGGGGCAGGGAGGCGTCAGCCCGGCTCTCGGCTCAGGCAGAGGTAGCTTCCCCCCCACCATCCGGGCCGGAGCAGGGGAGAGGCGAGTGGGGCAGGGCC